TCATGGCCCAGATAGCCAATAAACTTCCATTGTGGCTTTCCTTACTACCCTATTTTAAATTGTAATTCCTTGCCCTTGCACCTCTATCTTCCCTCGAATACTTTATCTTTCCCGTAACATTTATCACCATGAGATATACTATACATTCCACGTAACTGTTAAATCGTCAGTACCATGAAAGCAGGGATTTTTGTCTGTTTTCTTCACTGCTATGTCCCCAGCATCTACAATAGTGCCCGGCACATAAAGTCCATTAAATATTTGTGGACTAAATACATGATTCAAAGTTTGGGAAATAATACTGGTGCCTATCAAACAATTATTTATTAGACATAAAGAACACAATACTATATAAGATGTTGCCAAATACAAATGGGTAAAAAACATGGTCTCTGCTTTCAAGGAGTCTAGCTGGAGAAACAGCACTAATATACATGGAGGAATTAGGTAATAACATAGCAGTATAAGGAATGACTATTAACATAATTAGGTTTATTTGTCTATGACTCAAGACTCAGCCTTGTTATTCTTGATTATGCCTGGTATATAATTATTATTATTATTTATTTTTGAGACAGAGTTTCACTTTGTTGTCCAGGCTAGGTGAATGCCATGGCATCAGCCTAGGTCACAGCAACCTCAAACCCTGGGCTCAAGATCCTGCTGCCTCAGCCTCCCAGTAGCTGGGACTACAGGCATTTGCCACCATGCCCGGCTAATTTTTTTCTATATATATTAGTTGGTTAATTTCTTTCTTTTATAGTAGAGACGGGGTCTCGCTCTTGCTCAGGCTGTTTTGAACTCCTGACCTCGAGCAATCTGCCCGCCTCGGCCTCCCAGAGTGCTAGATTAAGGCGTGAGCCACCGCCCGCCCCTGGTATATAATTAAATAAGCTGAACTGAATGGTATAAACTGTTTCATACGCATTCAGAGGAGAAAAACATGAATGAGATGCAATAGCAGGAAAGACCATGGGGAGAGGACAGGTTCAGTGTGGGTTTTGTGGAGCTGAAGGAC